CTTCTGTTGCACACTGCAGTACCATAGGAGTGGTCGCGTAAGATAGGCTGTATGTAATAGGCAAGCATAACTTTGATCTCCCATAGACGTACAATTGTGATTTTCACAGTTTAAAATGTGTTTTCGGTCATTTATTTCTTACGTTTTGTTTCTTTGTTTGGTTGAAAACGGTGTGCATCGTTTTAATGGACCGTAGCAGTTTCCAAGGCAGTGTTGGAGTTGGTTGAAAACGATTGAATATAATTGCGTGGTTTTCCTCAGTAGTTAAAACCGTATTACGTTTTGCCCATGTTTTTATTTTTTCAGTTGTCCGTACTGTGTTGTGGAGTTTCGAATCTAGCCAGACAAAATTACGCCTACATAGAAAACATAAAACAACTACCCCTCCCGAATAAAATAAAAAGTGGACCCCATTTATTTGTGATTTATCTTATTTTCCCGCACTGATACTATTCTAGTCACTATTTGATCTACTAAGAGTGTTTCTGGGTCATATTTTTTTTAACTTCAGAAGACATCAAGACACAAGGTGCATATTTAGCCTCTGGGCATCATCGCTTCGCCGTGACCCACCTTACCAATTATGCATTCAAATGAACATTTTGCAGTGCTCCAATAGGAAGTGGTATAAGCAAACAGTTTGACGTGTATATAAAGCGGCGAATGCTTAGTTAAACTCACTTTGCTCTACTGCCTGCTAAAGCAATCACAACCCAGGAACAAGTCATGGCGTCGGGAAACAAGACAGCACAGACCGGTGAGTCTTTTGTAGCTTTTTTTCCACTCTTATGAGTGCATTGTAGTATACACCATTACAATATTTTCACACAACTATTGCCTTCAATTCTATAAATTCGCGGCGATACGAAACACGTACATGTATGATTTATTTGCATAAACTGTTTGAGTCTTTTCAGAAAGTGCCGTTAGAAATAGGCTTCTATACGCCGACTCGGGTGTTGAATCGCGTTAGTTTTACTGATATGTTCTACATTTTCCGGTGCATATTCCAGACAAAAAAAACAAACAATTTTTTGATGTAACAGTTTAATTCGTTTTCAGAATAATCAATATCTTTTAAAATTATGAGTTAAAACGATTTGGATCATTGGCGAGGGCAGACTATTTCCTTTAACTATGTCGAATATCTTCTGACCTGAATTCATTCCCGGGGAACGAAAACTAACTTTAGAAAATGTAAAACAAGCTGCTTACTTCAAAGACTTATGCTCACTTACTGACAGAATATTGGTCTACCGATATTACAAGTAACATTGGAATAAAGCTGAATCAAAGAACTGGGTGTGGGTGGTTAATTTCTGACAACGCTAACTTGAATAGAAACTCGAGCTCATTCATGTGTGAAACAACTTACAACATTTTGCATTCTGTCAATTTGTTGCTACTGTCTTTATCTGCACCTGTGACGACTCCGTGCGGGCTCATGCCCGGGTTGTCCTACTTTCGCCGCGAAATATGCATAAAACGCTCGCCGCTAGGCCAGTTGAACAAATTACGTCACTAGATATTTTCCCTCTTTCTCATCGCCACGGTAATTAGACATTGCAATGTTTGCTAACACGTGATTTACGTACGACGTAAAGCGTTTATAATAATTTATTAACAAACTTAGCAAACCAAACAGTATCTGACAATGATTGACCAAAATGTAAATATGATATGAATGGATTTGAAAGTCATGAGTGTATAGTGAAAGTACGCAATTTATGGAGTAAGGTACACCGACAATAGTTAAACACCATATTTGAACTGGGTCAAAGTACGCGCATGTGCCAGTGTGTACCTGGACAGAAATTTAACACCTTTGATGTTTCGTCCTTCACATGCCCTTGTGATGCTCACTGACCCAGGATACTAGTAGTTGACAGCCGCAAAATGTGATGTTCATATTATCAAGAACCGGCATACGAAATACTGCACTAGTGCATTGTGTACACTCCCACACCGTGACTGCAACCAATGGGACTCTGTGTTCGATACGACATCAAGGGGCGTCGGTGAGAGACAGTTGCGTCTGATGGCACAAAAGACAGTTATTTATTTGTGTCACCTTGAAACGTTTATTGTTCCCAAGCACACCACGTACTTTGTATATCTCCAAATATTGCTGAAATATCCCAATGATGAATAAAACACGGGCATTATATCTGTTATCTCCCAATCTATGTACAAACACATCACCATCACATCATACCGATGTACGTTTACAGGTTGATTTTAATAGTTGGTAATAATCTAATTCCGCAGGTCTGTATGACTACATCGTTGTTGGTGCGGGTCCGTCTGGACTTCAGATGGGCTACTTTTTGATGAAGAACAAGCAAAATTACGTTATCCTGGAAGGAAAAGACATACCAGGTTCGTTTTTCGCTAAGCACCCAGTTCATCGCACTCTGATTTCGCTAAATAAAAGGTTCAACCCATTTCCAGAAGAGGAGTACAACATGCGACACGACTGGAATTCGTTGCTAAGCGATGATCCCGAACTCCGCTTCACTAAATACTCTAAAGAGCTGTTCCCAAATGCCGATGATTTAGTTCGCTACATGAATGATTACGCCACCAAGCTTAACTTGAATATCTCCTACACACTCAAGTGG